TCCCCCCCACCCCACCCCCACGGATGTGAGTAACTGCCCGGGGGGGGCCCGGCCCCGGCAGGGGCGGGGGGAGGGACCCCAAACCCCTGAGCAGCCACCACACCCCGCCCCCCTGTCACCTCTCAACCACCCCCCGGGGATGCAGGGACCTCTCACGGGTGACACTTGGTGGGACACTGGGGCTACCTTGGGGGGGGCTGCGTCCCCCTGGTCCCACCTGTGTCCCACCTGTGTCCCTCGTGTCACCCCTGTCTCTGTCCCTCACCCGTGTCACTCGTGTCCCCCTCCCCCACCTGTATCACTGTCCCACTCCCCCATTTCCCCCGTCCTTGTTCCCCATCCCCCCCAAGCCCCCCATGTCCTTGTCCCTGTCCCCACTCCCCCATTCCTCAGTGTCCCCTGCATCCTCCTTGTCCTGTCACCTGTGTCCCCGTCCCCCACCCCTGTCCCCCCATGTCCCCTGTGTCCTCCATGACCGTATCCCATGTCCCCCCGTTCCCGTGTATCCCCCATGTCCCCTCCACGATGTGTCACCTCTGTTCCCATCTCCCACCCATGTCCTCTGTCCCCCAGTCTTGTCTATGTCCTCTGTCTGTCATCCGTGTCCCCCATGTCACCCCATGTCCCCACATGTCCCACGCTGTGCCCCTTGTCCCCTATAGTCCCCCATGCCCCCTGTTCCCAACCTGTGTCTGTGTCCCCTGTCCCCCACTGGTGTCCTCCATGTCCCCCATGTCCCATGTCATGCCCCTTGTCCCCCATGGCCCTCCTGTCCCCTCTGTGCCCCCCATGACCTGTGACCCTGTCCTGTTGCGCCCCCTGTGCCTCCTGTCCTTGTCCTCAAGGGCCCCATGTCCCTGTCCCCCCTGTGACCCCGTGCCCTGAACCCACATCCTGCTGTGCCCCCTGTGTCCCTGTCCCCCCTGTGACCCCATGCCCATGCCCTGCCATGCCCCCCGTGTCCCTGTCCCCCCTGTGACCCTGTGTCCTGCCATGCCCCCCGTGTCCCTGTCCCCCTGTGATCCTGTGTCCTGCTGTGTCCCCCGTGTCCCTGTCCCCCCTGTGACCCCGTGTCCTGCCGTGCCCC